GCACATTTTTCAACCTACATGATGATTATGATGCTTCAGAGGTTGTTTTCCGTCTCTCTTGTTTATCAAGTTTACTGATAATCAGTATTAATTAACGTTAATACTTTGGTGTTGATTAGTTTTCCTAAAATATAGTGAACGATTGAACTGTGGAGAATCTATAACTGATCTTATGATGTGCATTATGAACATAATTGTACAGAAGTTTAAAACATTTATATTTATGTAGGAGATTAAAACGACTTAAAAACTCGACCCGACCTCCGAGCGACCCGGTGGGTTTTAAGAGGTTTTATACATCGAGATAATTTCTATAAAATCCAGACCAGGCCTCTATTGGAGACCTGCGTTTACTTGTCAAAACGTGTAGCCACACCAGGCTTTTAAAGGAGACCAGTGTTTATTAGGGACCCTGCTTTTATTGGAAGTTTTACGGAAGTCATGTTTGTGTCCACCTGATGACTATAAGTCCAGTATTCACTCTCTTTAGGTTCTCCACCAACTCCTGAGGGAAATATCTGGTCTCTAACTGCTCCAGTGTCCACCAGGCGCTCTAACCGCTGCTGTTTCGTCCTACGCCACCTTAAATCCTCTGCAGTGCCCATATGTGAAAAGAACCACGAGGAGCCACAGTGCTGTACAGCTTCGTGCCGCTATAGCCAGCTAAAGCTCTTTATTTGTTTTAAAAGACATTGAGGAGACATTCTGAAACATGGGAAACTTGGTTCTTTATACATGTGAATGTCTCTGGGTCGAGTGAAGTTTAAGGCACAAGATAAATTAAGAAGACGGAGAAGACGAACCGCCTTTCAGACGAACAGAGTCCACCCCAGAGGCACGTAGCGCTCAGATCCAATGGCTGACACACAAACCGTCAAATTCTTACAAAATAAAACACAGGACGAGACCAAGAGAGCGACGGCTGGAAAACACAAATAAAAAACACTGAGACATAAAATGCAGAACGGCACAGTTTACGTACACGTATGTAAAATACTTTCTTGACGCGAGATATAAACACAACAAGGCAAAAGTCTATATTTGTGTGTTGAAGGTCAAAGGTCACACAAGCCTCCTCTGTATCGACACAAAACTGCTGCTCTTTGGCTTCGTAGGGCCGCGTAGATAACGTGTGCATTCCTTTAATGAGCTTGATACCAAGAATGATACGTGTGGTTACTGATGTGAATCCCTTATGAGAGAGTGCTGTAACGTGGAAGCAGCGTTTAATATGTGAGTGAACACAGTGTGTGTGTGTGTGCGCGCGCTAGATATAAAAAAGGGAAATGTCATTTTAAACTCTGGTGTGTTTCTTAATGGTGGGTGAACTTTTGTTTTGAAATGAGAAAACCAAAAACAGGAAACGAGCTGTTTTCTGATTTGAAAATTTAAAAAAAGAAACACAGAAAATGAAGAAACATTTCTTGTTTTCAAAATAAAAAAACTTTAGTTTTGAAAGTAAAAAAAAAACAGAAAACAAAGAAACAATCTGTTTTCCGTTTCACAAAATTACCTGTTTTCCAACTTTTATTTTGAAAATAAAAAACAGAAAACCAATAAAAACAACCACTTTTCTGTTTCTTGCTTTCAAAATAAAAAGGGTTAGGGTTAGAGTAGGTTAGGATAACAGAAAACAAAGAAACATCCTGTTTCGTTCGCAATATTTATAAACGGTAATAGATTTCGGTTTTCTGATTTCAAAATAAAAGTCTGCTGCCCGTGAAGCAAACAGAGTGTAACTCCGGACTGCGCATATTTGGTGTGTAACTAAACAAACAAGTAAGACACAACAACGTGCTGAAAATAACATTTTGTGACAAGTTAAGACTAATGTTGACTCATAAACACAATGTGAAGAACTCAGAATGACTGTAGTGGAGTTTATCACGTTATCAACCTCACTGAAAATAAACTAAATAAAGCCCATTGAGACATAATGTTTAATTTCTTAGTTACGGACATTTTCTCACTTTTTAAAGCCACTATTTGTAGAAATCTTCTGTGAAGAAAGCGTCTTTCAAAGGTTTTGTTTGTTTGGTGAAAGTCTCTGTGGCGCTTTCAGCTCGCTCCCCTCAGTGTTGGTGCAGGTGTGTAAAGGGTTAATTCTCATATAACAAGGGTAAATAATGGTGAGGTCTCAGCCGAGGGACGGGTCGCACAGACACATTAAGGTTGTTCAAATACAGGCTGCAGACGTTGCACAATAAAAGACCAGGACTTTTAATGTGAAAAACTGTCAGGAAGTGTTTTTCTTCGTGATAAAGGAAAAACTGCAAAACGGAACAACTTGAATTAATTAATGAATAAAAACTGTATTTCTGTGTGAGAGGAGAAACTGAGACTATTGCTCTCAACCTGATGAAATTATTAATTATATTATATTAATATAATTAATTTAAAGGTAAACATTCGTATAACTTTGTATTTCTCGGGGAAAACAGAGAAAATTCGAGATTAAAAGATGTCTCTAATATAAGCCTGTTCCAAATAAAGGTCTGGTGAGATGAGAATTTACAGTTTGGTTATCACAGTGATTTTTCTTACTATTACCACCAGATGGCGCCGAAGTGGGGAATCATAAACCTCATTAATAGTGGCTTTAGACAAATGAAGAAAATGTGGGTTATAATAATATAATATAATATAATGGGTTCAATTAATCGCTCAATTTTGTAAGTCAAGATCTTGGTAAATATTTTTTTTTTTTACCAATGGCTGTAGATATTCCTTTAAAAAATATATTATTTAAACACTTTCATTCTTTTTAATGTATCATTTTGTTAGATTTAAGGTCAGAAATTATTGGCAAAAAATGTTTGGCTAAAAGAATTGAGGCAATGTTGAACTAAAGATGATCCCCAATAGATTAAAAAACAACACAGATGTGCAAATAGTCAGTTTAAAAAACAAACACTTAACAGCGGCCTTCTTCCAGTGTAACAACCGGTGTATTAACAGGTGGAACAGTCCTTTCCTTTCATTAACACACAGTCCTTTCCTTTCATTAACACACAGTCCTTTCCTTTCATTAACACACTCGTTATTACAGTGAATTAAAACCGGCTGCGTTACCAAAAACAAAAAACCCCCCCGAGGGCGAAAGATTGAAATACTTCTCGTCTCTTTGGTGGCGTCTTTCCCTGCGACCGCCTGCCGGCTTTGCTTCAAAAACTTTGTCCAGAATGGTTTTCATTTAAAAAAAAATTTAAAAATATAATCAAATAAAATTACAAACAATCATTTGGCCAAGTAGGAGACCGCTGCTCTCTCTCCTCTCTAGAGTACGCCGTCTGTTCTGTCCAGCATCGACCTGTCTATTTACAAACCTGTACATCCTCGTCCTTTACCCACACTGAAGGCAGGAAGCCGCTGCCACGGCACAAAAATAGATTGTCTTCCTCTACAGCTGTTATAATTATCTCCTATAAATATGGAATATAGACTTCCACAGCAGTACATTATGTAATATATAGTATTCTACATGTTGTATACTCCCTTTAGTCTATCAGCCTTTCACTTCTTAAAGGGGAGGTTTGCCTTGCGACTGATGTGGTTAAATGAATGTCAAAAGCTGCTTTTCTGGTTCCTTTTCGTACAAGTGATGACAAATAATAAAAAAACAAAGAGCCACACTGTAGACGGAAGAGGAAGTGTGTAAAGTGGAAGTGTGGTGATATGATTAATGATGATGAAGATAATGATGATGAAGATGGTTCCCGTTGTCGCCGTCTATAGTTGGTGAGGCTTCGTCAGACCGTCTTCACTCAGCTCATACCTGCAGGACGAGAAACAGGCTTTTATTTTGGAAACTTTTCTGACATCTGACATCAGTGTTTTATTAATTAAAATATATTTTTGTACATATTTGTACATTTTTATACTCGTATCTTTAAGGATATATTATGTTTATTATTTCCTACTTAGGATAAATAGTTTTATTGTCATTATATAAGTTATTTATCATTTTGCCAAATATTGTCACTTGTGGATATTAATATTATGTGTCACATGACTCGTATTAACACACTTCACCATCGGTTAGGGTCTTATCTTAAAGCTGCAGGAGGTAACTTATATAAAAATAACTTTTTGTCATTTTTGCTGTCACTGTATCCCGACACATGATATCGATATATAAGGGGCAATATTTGGCAAAATGATTTTTAAATGATAAATAACTTTACAGACAAACTGTTTCACAGCATTTCAAACACAAATTGAAGATTTTATGATTTTCAGTTGATAAAAGAAATAATATTCTACTTAAAAAGCATCTTTTCACAAAAAACAAGCATTTTCTACATCAAAGAAAGACATTGTGTTTTCCTTACATCATATATTTAAAGTGAGCTTTGTGTGAGCTGTTTCACTTGATTCTGGTGTTTTCTTAGAAATTAACTTAAGAACACTTGAAAAGAGGAAGAGATCAAAGACTAACCATTGTGTCCAACCCTTGCTGACGTCCTCGTGGGTCAGATCCACCAGAACCTGATGAGGAAAGGCAACAGTTTGCTTCAATGACACAAATATCGTCTGTGTTTAAATCACTACATACATTTTTAAAAAAAAGAAGTGAGCCTTTTGCCCTGTTATCTGCCCGTCCAGTGAAAGCCCGTACCTTTCCCAGGAGGCCTTTGTGTTTGGAGAGCAGGCCTCCGCCATTCTTCACGGCAACATCCAGAGTCCGCCTGTGGAGCTCCACGAGGGAAACAGTGAACTCGAACCTGAGCGGAGAGAGAGCAGACACACAGCTCAGCCACTGAACAGTCAGTCAGGAGAAAAGTAATACAGTGAGAGCGGGACAGCCGGACTCACGTCTGATCGTAAACCGGGTTGAGGGTTTTCTTGTAGGTGTGAGTTTTCCTCCTGCCCGACCTCCGTTTGTCAGGAAGCAGGTAGAGGCGGACGTAAGGATCCGAGCCGTGGTCGGTGAACGCGATCAGGTTTCTGTGGAAGGTAAACGGATGTTAGTGGAACCTCATGAAGCGCCGTTTCTGGGGAGGAACGTCCGCTCTTACTGGGCCGTACCTGCAGCCGTGAACCACCACAATGAGTTTGTTCCTCTGGGAGCTGTGTCTGACCGTCAGCTGGACCTCACCCAGCGGGAAGTGACTGGGGCCCGAACCACTACAGAGACAGAGAGAGAGAGAGGCTCATGAGCTTCACTGGTGATATTTAACACAGAATAAACCTTTATGTTTTAGGGATGAGCAGATAAACTGATATTTGACTGGCTGATGTACTTTTGCAGCTGCTGGAGCCTGAGCTGCAGCTCCTGGGCAGCGTAGGGGTTGGAGATGTCCGACGCGATGCTGGGCGTCGGCTCCTTGCCTCCAGCCAGATACTGCTGGGAACCAGAGATGGCCAGGTTGGAAGTGCTCCTCCCGGTCTCCGCCAGGCCGTGACCTCCTCCTCCTCCTCCTCCTCCTCCTCCTCCTCCTCCACCGTGCCCTAAGTCTGTGCTTCCCACAGACCTATAGGAGTCGTCGCCCTCCCTCCGCCGGTTCAGCACGTCCTGGGCGGACACCGAGGCCGAGCGAGGGATGTCGGAGCTGGAGGAGGGAGGCCTGGGGGACTCAGAGGAGACAGAGGGCCGCGGGGTGGGGTTGATGGAGCTGCTGGACTTATGGACCTGCACGGAGGACGGGGTGGAGTCCGAGGGCGAGGATGTGTCTTTCTTCAAGCACAGCACCTGAAATTATACACAAACAAATGTGACCAACTGTTACTTGTTTACACATGTGAACTGTTTGTCTGACAGAATTCACAGCAGCTCATTTTATTACAGATTAATTTGATTCTTTTTAGGGACTTTGCACAGATCCTTCAAACTGTGGATGATATATTAGCTTAGCTTAGCTTGATCTAAAGTCTAGAGGCAGTGGTAGCTCTGGTAGTCTACAAAGTTATTAAATAGGCCAATCAACACCTCTAAAGGTCGTTAATTAACACAATATACTATATATATATATATATATATATATATCAACCACATCAACCACAGCTATAGTGAATGCTTTTTAAACACACTCTACTCTGTATGATTCATTAAATAAACCCTGTTCTATTGTGTATCTCAGACCGCAGGGATCACTGCCACATAGTTTGGCTTTTAGCTTATCTAATGGCGCTGAATGTATGTCATCACTATCACTTACAGCAAAGTCCCTCAGACAAAGCTTGGAAAAAGGCGGTCCCCCACCCCCGCTACGGGATCATGATTATGTTATTTGATCCCATAGACGCTCAACAATTGAGCCAAGTAGCCTGATATTGCTGTTTGACATAATCCAGACTGCATCAAATACATAAAAAAGATTTGTTTGAAGGCATTTTTTAGTTTCTGACACCGGAAATATGTGGAAAATAGTCAAATTCCACAAATCTACTGTATCAATAAACTATATCTCTCTCTTTTTTTTAAAGAATAAAGCTTATTTTTGGCATTTTTTATTGACAGAAACAACTGAAGAGTGACAGGAAAGCAGGGAGGGAGATGGGGGAGGTTCCTCTCTTACCCGCAGAGCCATCTTCATCTTCACGGTGCAGCTCGGTCCGGAGTTCTTCAGGGGGAAGCGCTGGTTCAGCGTCATGTCCTCCGCCTCCAGCAGGCGGCTCAGAGGCAGCTTTAACGTCCCCAACGAACACTCGTGTTTCTCATCCTTCACCTGAAACAAACAGGACACACAAACACGATAAAGTCAGTCACGGCTCATAATCCCAGATTTAACTGCCTTTAAACATAATCCACCAACAAAAGTTACTACAGACGTACCTCAACCTCCAACTCCTGGCTCTTGGGGTTGTGGATGAGGAAGGTGAAGGATTCCTCCCACACCGGTTCATTGGTCTTATATCTGGTCTGGAAGAGGACGCAACAGAGAGGAGTCAGAGGGAAAATACCAAAACCTTAATTTAAGTTAATATACATACAGTTTAGTTCAATATTGAACATTTTGGGGGTTTCTACTCATTGTCTTTCTTAAGGAGAGTGAGAGAAGACTGATATCAATCTTGAGTCTGTGTGTTAAGTACAGAGCTGGATGTGGTTAGCCTAGCTTTGCATAAAGACTGAAAGTGGAAGGAAACAGCTAGCATGGCTCTGCCTTTAAAGTCTTTTAATGCTCATTGAGTAACACATCTTGTTTTTTTGTTGAATTTGACCACAAACAGAAATGTAAAAACTACACAAAGTGGTAATCAGTGAGTTTTTAAAGCATTTTGAAGCCTATTTTTGACCTTCAGACAGAGCCAGTTGCTGTTTCTCCTTGTTTCCAGTCTGTACACTAAGCTGGACTAACCACATCTTGACTCCTATGTTGTAAAAACACACAATATTTATGTCAATCTATCATTGTAAAGATAGGAAAAACTAAATTTCCCCCAAACTATTAAATATTTGCTAACTGAAATGTTGTCCTCAGTGAATGAGAAGTGTTACGTTACGTCAAAGCTACGTTGGCTGTAGTTCCAGTGCTTTTTGAGATAAGGTCAACACTGAATGAATGAATGAATGAATGAATGGTGGTGGGTGTTGATGTGGATCATGTTCGGGTCTCACCTTGCTTTCGTAGGACTTGTGTCCGACTGTGAACTGGACAAACGGACTCGGATCGCTAGTCACTTTTTTACCGGACTGCAAAAAGAAGAAAAACAGGTTTTACAAACAGGAAGGAGCGTCGGCTAGCAAGATGTTAGCCTAGTATGCTAACAAGTATGCTAGCATTTGTGACATTTTGGAATTTAATTCAAAAAAGTATTTATTTCTTTTACTTAATAAAAAACAAAAATGTATTTTCATTTCAATTAGCAACTAATTTCTTTTAAAAAAGATGCACACGGAGTAAACTGAGTCTACAACTCTTGGTTAACTCTGTTTTAGCATCTTTTTCACCAAATATAATAAACATAAACATGCTATTAGTCAGTACGCTACTCACTAAACTTCTAAAATGTGTATTATACTGTTAAATGTTTTTACGAGAACAGGAAATATACAGTACAGTAAGTTTTGAGCATTCAAAATAAGCATTTTGAGCTCAGACAGCGTCATTTCTGGGCGTGTGATATCACATCTTTACCATGATACCAAACTACCCGCTGCTATTCAACACATCTCAGCACTTTATGGCAAAATGTGTTACTTTTATGGGAAGGGAAATGAACAGTAAAGGACATCAGGTAAAGTGTGGAAAACCCCACCCCAGATCAGTTTTAAAAGAAAGATCAATTAAAAGTGTAAATGTACTTTAGATGACGATGTTGTTATTGACAGCACACATTGTTAGTGCACAGTTTTAGTCAACAAACATGATTAGTGGAGTTTGTTAATGATTTCACACCAGTCAGAGAGTAAGTGTAGTTCCAGTAGCAGCAGCGCCCCCTGCTGGGTACATCACCGAGTGAGCTCTCTTCATGTAAACTTAATGAGCTTCATATTTCCAAAAATCCTCAAACTTTCTCCCAAATTTACCCTTCCTAAGTCCCGCCCCCTTTTTGGCTCTGTGCTCCAATAACAGTTCATCCTCGATCAGATCCTCCATCAACTGTCTCCTTTCCTGTATTTAGATATGCTGTGCTAAGTGTTGAAGATAGTTAAAAGATAAATGCGACATATAGTCACAGATAAAGTTAGATAATGTTAGCAAAACACTGGATAACTAACTAGCTAATCTACATCAAAGCAATCGTTTTAAAATATAAACTAAAACCAGAAAGTTTAACCATTAGTTCTATGTGAATAATCCTCTGCATATACTTTTCACAATAAAACCACCGACCAATTTATATATTGATTTTATTTTCAAAGGTTATATGTTGAATCAGTTTTGTGACCTTTGGGTCTAAAACTGTAAAATTAATTGAACAGTAATGTTTAACATTGAACCAGTAATGTTTAACAGGTATTAAGGTGATTATGGCCATATATACTGTTTGCTTTATTTAACAGCAAAAAGCAACTTAGCAGTAAACTACCAAACTTTAACACTGTTAACAGTCTATGTGGCCAAAATGTATGCAGACACTTGTTCTTATTCCTGACTTGGTCAAGGACCCGAACTTCCAATGAAAGGAAATCTTAAAGCTGCAGCGTTCGAGGATATTTTAGGTGATACTGTGCTTACAACAGTTTCCTGTTTCATTATGAAAATGTACACAAAGCCAAAGTCTTAAAGAAATGGTTTTCACAGGTTTTAGTGAGAACTTAACAGGCCCTGCATGGAGCCCTGATCTCCACCCATCCAACACCTTTGGGATGAACTGGAACACTGATGTGAGCCAGACCTCACTCATGCTCGTGTGACTGAATGGGAGCAAATCCCTGCAGCTCAGACTGCAACCAGAAGAGCGGAGGCTGTTAACGCGTCCACATAGTCTTGGCCACACAGTGTAGGAATATGGATGTTTGCGTATATAAGCCCGAGTGGACGTGTGCTCCTCTGTGTCCCTCCTCGGTGTCTGAGCGGTATGCGTGTGCTTCGTTACCGTGTCGTTACCTTGATGGCCTTACTGACCGAGGCCTTCTTCAGCCCCGCTTGGTTGAACTCTAACGGATTGCGCTTTGATTTTCCCCCAGGGACAAGGCAGGAGAGAGTAAACAACACACAAACACACACACACACACAAACAGACACACACACACACACACCAGCAGGTTATTAGGGAAAAGAGGGGGCATGCAGGGAGGAGGAAGAGCACAGGACCAGGACCACCGGCATCACCAAACGTCAGGACACAATGAAGACAGACAGAGAGACAACATGGATGATCACATGGTTAATGTCATTCCCCAATTAAACCTGGGCATGGAAAATAGAGTCAAACCAATACTGGACTCAGACGTGCAGCTTTAAGAGTAAAAAAGCATATATAATATAGGTATATATGGTATATAATGAGGTTTTCCAGACTACAATTTAAAACAGAACAAATACATATTACATTTTAGTTTTAAAAACAACAGAATATACTAAATTCTTCATCTAAAACATTCATAAACTGCAATTTGTTTTGGATATCTGCACATATTTGTGCCAACATCTGCCAGTCTGAGCTAAAGTGTATTGGTTGGACTCGAGTCAAAATACCACAGCATTAGATGGGAGTCATTGATTGAAATGCGGAGAGTAAATAAAGAACCAGAGAGAACGAATCACTCTGACGGAGGAGGAGAAGAGATGTTGTTGTTGTTGTGGTGATAACATTTATATATTTATATTGATATGAAATACGTTGATATTCCATCATCAATACACAGAACTGGTGATAAAACTGAGCAACAGCGAAAGGTATGAATGCTAATGCTAATGTTATCTCAGGGTTCAGCTTTTGATCTAACATGCACAAGTGAGTCTTTAAAAACTCAACGCAGCTCATGTCAGATGGTTGATGTGAGTGTTTTTTAAAGCAACACACAGACTTATTGACACATCCGCAGTGACACCTACTGGCAAACACTGAGAACTGCATTAAGTGTCCGTATCTGTCAAAATGTCTGCGTATTCCTTTAAAAATGGATCCAATTTGCTTCAGTTTTTCATGGAACTACGTGCTGCCCCCTGGTGGGCGGAGTTGGGAGTGAAACCTGTTCTCTCACACACACACACACACACACACACACACACACTGGGCTTGTAGAGGGAGGATGGAGGGAAAGCAATCCACAGAGAATTCAGCCTCCCTGCTCTGAGTGATCAAAAAGCATTCCTTCCTCTCACAATAAGTTACAGGTAAAAATAATCTGCTGCTGCAACACATTGTACATATCACTCTTACAGACTGTTTAACCTGTCAACTAAGTAATAAATAACTCAAACAAGAACTCATTTCAACTAAAGGGTTGTTTTTCTTTAAGCCCTATTCACAGGGGACTGGTTTTATCTAGGGACTTCTGCCATGTCTAATTGGTTAAGTATAAATTTCACTGCAAACTAAAAGTCTTTGTGATTTGGGGTCATATTTTCTATTTATTCAAGGTATTAAACTGGTAGTTTAATGTAAAGTATCAGAACTTAATGTGGAGTGCACTGATGTTTTATAAGAACAGTTAACAGGGTTCCCACTCTTTAAGAAATCTTCTTCCAGGACCTTGGTCAACTTTTACGGGACACTCTCACGTTTTGGTTTCCTGTGATTTGACTACAGCTTACTACCTCAAACCTAAGTTTACGTAGACGAGTGATGGGCTAAAATACCATTATAATCTATCCAGGAAAACATAGATTATTTCCAGTTGTTTCCATGACTGAAAAATGAGTCCAAGGTTTTCCAGGACGCGTGGGAACCCCCTGGTAAAGTTATTTTTTAAATGAGCAGAGAGGTTTCTGGTACCTGCAGCCTCACACAGCAGCAGATTAGAAAATTAGAAATTCAAGTAAAATACGGAGTTTACTCCCATGTGAATGCGCCACATGAAACACATATAACAGGTCATATAGCACATATAGCACAATTCTTTATATCTACTGTAAACAACCAAACAACTTTTAGAAAGCAAATAAAGAAATATAATGTCAGAGCATGAGAACATTCCCCTGCAGGTATACTGGTCTGACTGTTGAGTTCAGGTTGTTTGTTTTGTTGTTATGTTAATTGAATTATTATCTGCCATCACTTGTCTTCACTCATTAGTGGATTAATCTACTATTATTATATTTTAACTTTATGTTTGTATTTTCGTATTGTGTGCTTGTCCTGTATTCCTGATGTTTAGGACCCCAGCAGGACTATACATGTGCTTTCAATAGAGATCCTTAATAAACAATAAACAACAATATCAGTTCTGTGCGAATACGGCTGAAACTGACATGGACTTCTGATCTCAGGACTAAATCTGGGTGAAAGAAGAGTTCAGTAAAATACTTATCTGGTGCTTTTTGTGTTGTCTCATGAGACACCTACAGGACATAAAGTTAAACCTAGAGCTTTATAACAGCACACATACGGGAGCATTGGTTGTTTTATCCTTTTAAAGACCAGTGTTGGCAGTGAGGCAGAAAAACATCTTTCTGAGGAGAAAGTGAGTGCCATCAACACAGAGAGTGTCTACTTCCCGGGTAATAACCCATCTGATGGAACTAGATCAGTGTAATTAATCCTGTCAGTTTAATAACTCCTTATGAGGGACGATAAAAGAGGAGGAAGGATGCTTTTGATAGCCCTTAAACATAAACACTCAATGTTGTTCGCTCACTTTCTGATCACACTGTTCTGCCATGTTCCTCCGCTCTGTAATCAGTCCAACTCCAACAAAAAAACAGCCACGACAAAAAAATTATATTAAGGAACTCCAACTCATGCACAAGTATGGATTCATGCTCACGAGGCAGACAGTTCAAACCGGCTTTTGTTTTTTAAACCAAACACGAGCAAAAGTAAAAAAGAGAAAGGAACATGACTTCTAGCAGAGGTAATCACACCTTGGCACTGCTCGGCCAAAACTAGTTTAGGATGCAGAAAACAGCCAGCGCACTCACAAATAGGGTCCTATAGAGAGAGGCAGTGTTCTCGCAAAACACGAGGCCCGCCGCCCGCCTCTCTTTTAAGTAGCCCGAGCCCAAGTTCCCCTCGAAGACGCTCTTCAGAGGGGAGGAGGAGGAGGGGGAGGAGGAGGAGAGGGGAGAAGCAGAGAAGAAGAGGAAAGTGAAGCCTGCAGAGTTCAACCACTAACAGATAAAGTCATCTGTGCTGGAAAACACTGTGAGACAGGACAGACTCCATCTTTTAACTTAAAGGTGCTGCGACAGTCTCAGTGAACATTTATTAGCAGCAGTGGAGGAAGTAATCAGATCCTTCACTCGAGTAAAAGTACTAAATACTCGATGCCTTGAAAAAGTAAGTAGAATCAGGAAAATGTATTTAAAGTATTAAAAGTAAAAGTACCAGGGTCGCTGGGGGCGCTGAGACAAAGTCTGTCTATATAAGGACGTCCTATGAAATACTAAATGCACAAAATTCATGTTTTTTTTTTACACAAATTGTTTAAGTTTTAATAGTCTAAAACCGTTTTCTTGCCATTAATACCAGTGTACACACGTAAATCCCAGTAAAAAGAGTTAAATAACAATATTAACATATAGCACAATTACAACAGGGTTTACGGTTATTAGATCTGTTGTCTTCTTACTGCACCTTTAAGATGAGATGGAGCGAAGAGCAGAAAAAGAAGACGAGTGAGAGACTGAAGTGAACAGTGTGTGAACTGGAACCAAAAAGCAAAAACTGGATGGCAAATTACACTTCATCCATTCCCAAGAGTGGGAATCAAGAAATAGTCTGTAATGGTAAAATTACAGTCAATTATACAAAAAAAAAAAACCTTTTAAAAAACCATTTCTCCTTGCCGCGGCTCAACTCATATCTACATTTAATGTTCGTTGACTCTAAGGAGAGACTGTTAATCATCACTGCAGGTGCACTCTGGGAGGTCGGACCCGACTGACTTACAGGCAGGTTTCTGGCTGAATCCAGGAAGACCACGAGCAGCGCCGACGACAGGCCGTCGTTGGCTTGACCGCGATCGGCTTTGATGCTCATCAGCGCCTGCGAGGGACGATAAAGACCAGGTAAATGCTAATAGGTCGTAGTGTTTGATGATTCTGATGAAGGGCTCGGTTCAGGCTGTGGTTCTGTACCTGGTCCAGCTTCTCAGGTGTGGGCAGCAGAGATAACCACTCGAGCCTGAGGTGCAGCTTCCCTGTGGCCACATCCTCCAACACAAACCACTAAAGACAAAGAAATGTTTCTTGTTGATATCAATATTGTAATTAACACCCAATAGCACAGAAAGATAAAGGAAAGGAGAGAAATACTATCAATCAATCAAACTTTACTTGTTTCTGCTATGTAATTTAGTTTTATATAATGTGAGCAATAACTCAACAGATGAAGGGATTGTTTGTTTCTATTCCTTTGATGATATTTGGTATGTACTGGTTGTTCATTCCAATAAAAAAGAGGCAAAAAAAGTCATAAAATTTGATTTCTGAAGCTAAAAAACTAAATTAAAACAAGCGCTCAGGTGTCTATCACGGCTGAAAAACAATGTAAATTAACTTAAATTCAAACTGTTTCAGGAGAAAATGCTTTAAAGTTCAGTGCAGAGACGCCACAATGAGCAGATTTCCCTGTATGAAACACAACAACATGTCCGCTGACTGCTGGAACTCAGAGAAGAAGAGCTGCAGATTACCTCATCGACCTTCTGTTCCTTCTGCAGCTCGCCTAGATCGATCATCAGACTGAAAAACAAATCACAAACGAGACAAAACTTTCACTGAGGGCTCCTGAACGAGGCGCGGCGGCGAGTTAACTGAAATTAAAGTCAGACACACAACGCTGCACTAAAGCTCGCTGTGAGCTCGGTGTGAGAGCTCCTCGTCACTTTCAGGGGAGGAAAAACCGCTAGAAGGTAACTGGAGTGTGAAATCCTATTACATACTTTATGGGAAATATGACTTTTATAAGATATGAAAAGCACAATATACAGAATAAATACAGTTAATCCATAAAATATAATATAATCTATGTGAGCAGCTATTCTCATTACAGTGTGTAGAGTCAGTACTTGTGTGCACTGTCTGTAAAGTACTTTAAGTGGGGCCTCAACTAAAAGTAATTTTCAATACAGATTCATTCTTTTTTTCAGTTCATCTCTACGTCGAAAAGTTTTTCTCCCAGAGCCCTTAGTCTTTAAATGGCTTCTTTGGAAGTCGAAAACCCCAAAATATTCAACTTATAATCATATAAAACAGAGAAAAACTGCAAAT